TTGTTTTCAATATTTTCCTGATTTGAAAGTAAAAATAATTAGAAAATTGAAAACGACGAAGAAGAAGGAACATCGTCTTCTCTAGAGAGTCTCTCTTTACACCGCCTTTGATTCTTTACTTATAAACCCTTCTTTTTCCCCTTTGTATATACTCTCTTAGAGAAACATTTCTTCCTCATACGAACTCTCTCTTCCCTTCTTTCGCCTCGCCAGAAATGGCAGATGACTTGGCGAATCTCTGCCGATTTCTCTTTGACGAGACCGGCGTTTCCTCGTTCTCGTCATCGGCATCTTCAGATCTCTTCTCTCAACGTATACGCTCCGATGATTCGATCAAGCGTGGTCTCCGTTATTTCTATCTCGTCCTTCGCTCTGGAATCTCTCCGATCGGCGGAGATGATGATGACTCCTCCGGCAAGCTACGGTTTGAGACCTGGTCGGATTCGCAGCTCCAAGCCCTTGTTTCGATATCTCAGGCGATCCTTCTACTATCGCGATCTCTATTAGGTATCGACTTGACTCTGAATAGTTAAATCGAGGTTCTGGGTCGGTTTTGGATTACCTGCCGATTGTTTGATTATAGTCCGTCTTCCACTTTATTAGCTTCTGTATCTGCTCTTTCTGCAAAGTTACTTGTTAGATTTCAGATTAAGCAGTGATGGCCTCGAATCATATTCCTTACTGGTTTACTGTTTTTTGGTGTACCTCAGTGGAACAAGTCGAACCAATAGTTTTGGGTATCATCCAGGAGGTGATGGAATTCTCTCTCAGCTTCTTGGAGAAGTCAAATTTTAGACTAAGTGATCTGAAAATGGAGGTTTGTTCTTTATTTTGATAGATATGCTTCTGTGTTACTTCAATTTGTGATAGAGATTCTGAAGTGAAGTCTTTATTGTTGGATATTGCTCTCCCCTTCGTCATGATTTTGAAGTCTATCTATTGGTTAAACTAGGAAATCTGCTTAAGTACCTTGTTTGAGCATAGACATACCTTCTAAAGAAATGATATTACTGCGTTTGTTTTTTTGTTGGTAATGCGTTTGAGCTCGTTTATCAGAGTTGACACCGGTGATTAGGATACAATGTTGCACCATAGATAGTTCATACTTCCATTTGCAA